TAAATAACTCGTCACTTACTTCATTATCAGCCATTCTTTTCGATCTAATTTCATCGATAATGGCCACTCAAACTGTACCGAGGAGCTGCTGCGAGAACGAACTGGTGAGGAGGAGGAGCGGAGTTTGAAAGTTGTTGAATACTGCCGCCATCCAACCACAACTAGCCTTTATAATGAGCTGCGCACCACGTTGATCAGAACTGGCTCGTCTAAAGCTGTGTAGGAGGAGGTAACAGGCCACGTACTCTACCTATTCAACACTGGCAAAGACGGCTGCAGGTGAATGGCGATGAAGACCAGGCGGGCCTCAAAACGCGTCTATTTCAGGAAACTGTGTATCTGAAAAACGGGTTCTGCATTCAAAATATTTGTCATCTCGCCCGAGGTTTGCCAGACCAAACCACCGATAACCTCCGCCGACTGGAGATTTCGACTACCATTTAGCCAGCGGCAAGAGTACACAATGATGCCTTTAGTATCTTTGAGACGTGCACTATAACCTCATGTCTGATACTGTGACGACAAAGGACGCCGAGAAGGTGACCACTTCTCCTTCAGACCCTACCTTGGCTGAGGTGGTTCCCAACGAGAAAGGAGGCAAGAAGAAGCCTGGAGAAACCTGGAGAAAGGACGACGTTCATGAAATTCCCCCCAAGTGAGTCCTAAGGAACGGTTCAATCAATAAACGATCTGAGATTACTTGGCAGTAATCTTCTGTTGGTCTTTCCTGGGTACGAACTGGCTTTCCGCTATATCCGGGGGGTTACTTAATAATATCTAGCTTTATTTTGACCGTATTTCTTGCCGCCCTAGATCAGACAATCGGTATGCACATTTTTATATAAACCTAGAGCACCCCCCGACATTATCCTCCGACCACGCCTCTCTGACAATCGCCGAAACTCTTGGGCTCTTGCTAACTCTGATTCCACCCCTGCTATAGTCTCAACTGCTCTGCCTACTATTGTGAGGGATTTAGGTAAGTCGAGGCGTACTAGAATTGGAGCTTTTTCACCAACTCAATCCTTAGGTGGTGCATCTGGGTACTCTTGGGTTGGGACTGCATATCTTCTGACAAGCGCGGCATGTGCCCCGCTCTACGGAGTCCTCACGGTCGGTGTCGTCCCTCCTAGGAAGAACTTGCACTGACCCTACTCAGGATATGTTTGGTCGTAAGCCCGCTCTTTTCGGCGTTATTTTATGCTTCTTGCTGGGATCTGCGCTTTGTGGTGCCGCAAAGAGTTTTGTGTGGTTATGTATTGCACGAGGGGTTAAGGGCATCGGCGGTGGAGGAGCAATCCAGGTAGGCCCTTGCATACTATACCTTCCTCGGACTAACTGCTTCAAGCTCTCACAAATTGTCATCTCTGATATCAGTTAGTGGTACTCTTTAATGATACACACTTACTCAACTCTGTTCAGCACGTCTCGAGGATCGAGGCAAATACTTTGGCGCTATCGGAGCTACTTGGGGTATCTCAAAACAATATTTTGATTATTAGTGACTGATTTTATCGATATAGGTGCTGCGTCCGTGTTAGGACCTCTTCTTGGTGGTATCTTTGCCGATCACGTATCATGGAGGTGGATATTCTTCATTGTAGGTATCACTCACTAATCATCATTTTGAGACTGATTCATCTCACAGAATTTGCCAACTGGTGGCTTCGCTATCGCTCTCCTTGCCCTGTTTTTGAATGTGAGTCTATTCAGCTGCTTTTCCTGCGTCCTTTATTGATTCTCCCTATAGCTAAACCCAACGCAACGCAAGCCATACAAGATATATGTTCAAGAATTTGACTTTCTAGGCCTGCTCCTAGTGGTCGGAGGGACGGTTTGCATCCTGCTTGGGTTCAATTTTTCTCAGACGTCATGGAGAGACGCAAAGACGATTTCTCTGATAGTCGTGGGAGGAGTACTGTTTATCGCATGTGCCTTCAACGAATTTGCACTTAAAAAACGGAACCCTATCTTACCTCCACGACTGTTTAAGACGAGGACAACTGCCGGCATTCTCTTGTCCAGCTTTATCCAGTTTATGGCCCTCTCGGGTGTCTCTTACTATCTCCCTAATTATTATCAGGTTTGTAATAGAGCGCTGACCAGAGCATTTCACTGAGATTTATCCAGGTATTAGGTGCCTCGGCGACCAGATCTGGAATCTACACCGTCCCTTTCTCTGTCATTGGCTCCTTTTTCGCTATTGTTGGAGGTCAAATAGTTGCGCGAACTGGCAAATACAGGCCAACTTTGTGGGCATCATGGGTGAGTACTTTCACGCCCGAACGAGAAGATAGGCTCATGATTCACAGGTTTTGCTAACTCTTGGCATGGTATGCTGGTTTAGTGCGGGTTGCTCCCTTCTAACAAGTCTACAGGGTCTACTATACTTACTGAATGAAAATTCCTCTAAAGCGATGCAAGTAGCCCTTCCGATTATTGCTGCAGTTGGGATGGGC